TTTTTCTAAAATTGATATTAAGAATCCATAAAAGATGAGAAAAAGGAGGAATACCCGTCAGCAACCACTAATTGGCCGAAAACTTGCCCTCTTTGATCAGCAGGAGGAAAATCTGGTGATGCAACAAAATTGTAAGGCCAGCTTCTAACTTCTTCCAACATCTGCTTAACCCACATAAATTGTTAGCTGCTCATTTATATATATATATATATAGAAATGATCCAATGGGCTGCCGTTTTTCAGTTTGGATTGATAATTTTGCGAGTTATAACTAAAAATGACTATAATGCATAATGTATTTTTATTGTACTCGAAACATAAAGTGTTAGTTAAAAGCATATTAGGTTTGAAAGGTGGAAAGGAGAAATCAAGACACAATCAAATTAAGGCATTGATCTCTTCTTACATTTTTCTTAAACCAAACAGATTTAAAGGATATTATACCTATTTTCAGACCACAGTATCATACTTTGGTTAGTACAGACTAAAAAACGTTTGTATTAATTAAAAAAAAAAAAAAAACTAACTAGTTGGTTTTTTATTTCTTAAAGGGCCATTAAGAACAAATTGAATAATTCCATCCTTGCTTGATTATATTTTAAATAACAGTCCTTAGTTACTAATGACTTAATTGAATAATTTGAAAGTTAAAGGTTTGCATGGCAAACCCAAAACCTTGAGTTAGTGGGCTGCAAACCACTAGCTGGAGATTCATGGGGTGGCATAGGCAGATTCCACCAACAAAATCAGCCCATGGTTATGGTTGGGTTAAAACCCCATTTCATGCCATTTACCACATTATGACTTCTTTGCTTTTCTTCCAGTCGAGAGAAGCTCTGCAACCTTAACAATTCCCTTTTCCTTTTTTCCATTCAACCGAAAGAAATGAAAGGGGATTCGGAGAACTTTGCAGTGGCAGTAAAATGAATAAATGAAGAAACGTTTGTTCAACTCTTGGGTTTGTGGGTTGAACCAGAAATGGAGAATAACCAAAGGGACAGCTGCAAATCAGTGGGGGAATTTGAAGAAATCCAAGGGATTCTACCAAGAATGGTATTTGGCTTTGTGAGGTAAGTATAGATTATGACTCTGGTAGCTATAATTGAAGTTAAAATGATATTTATCTGGTTAAGCATGATCCTAAACTAAAGCTAATGCAAGAAGTGGGCTTAATAAAGAAGAATGCTTAACATTGAAATGAAATTATGAATTAGTTCATGGTTAGGGTATAAGTCAGTGCTGGATTAAAGTTGAGACTACATGTTGGACATGTAGATATGGCTTTTGAAAGTTTTATTTGATGCAAGCTACTGTGCTATTCTGCTGTGATTTAATACTAAATTGTCTTGTTATATCTAAAGTATAAGCATGACAGTGCATAGATGCTGTTTATATGAGTTAGGTACAGAACCCAGTTGGACTGGGAGTGTGAAGAGAGATTATCTAGATCCATTGCGCAGTAGGAAGAACCACTGGTTGGACCATTGGTATGGTAGCTACTAAGCTAGGTAGAACCCAGTTGGACTGGGAGTGTGAAGACAGATATCTAGATCCATTGTGCAGTAGGAGGAACCATTGGTTGGACCATTGGTATGGTGGGATGTACACCCACAAGGAAAAATCCATGGATAAGAACTTACATTCATCTGCATGTTGAACAAGCATAAGGTTGCCTTGCTATTATCTTATGTTTATTGGAAGTATTTATGTCATATTTATTTATGACACTAATGAAATTTTTCATTATTGATGAGCAGTGTTTGATGGAACTGATTCTGTGCTTCCTGAGGTAGAGGAATGTATTTTCTGGTTTGTTCTAGAATGGAGACCAAGTAAGCATGTGCTTGGATTGAACTTACCTGTTCTAAATTAGATAGTTCTAATTTAGAGAATGTGGATTATTTTCAAGATGATGATTTGTCTATTTCTAATTCTGGTATCTTGACATAAGTTTTATGTGGAAGAATAATGTAAGTTAATTGATGGAACTTAATAAGTTAAATTAAGATTTCAGTCATGGCTCTTAAGTTATAACCTATGCTTATTGGGCTTCATAGCTCATGGTGTATTGTTCACCTTGTTTCAGGTTAGCTAGTGAAGAGATCAACAATTTTTGGGAGACTAAGAGTTTCCTATGGTTGCTGGTAGTGAACAAGCTTTTCAGGGTTGTTGAGGTAACTTGTGTCTGCCCAAAGCTAAATCCTGGCTCAATGTTTTGTAAAAGAACTTTGCATTATTAGAATATGTTTTGTTTACCCAATGGGACATCAATTGATTGAGAGTTAATTCCTAATCTAGTTTATTACGATAGAATTTGCTGTATAAATAAAGTTACAGCTCAAACCTGACCCTTTTGGCTAAGGTTGCAGGTCTGGGATGTATCATTTCCTCCCAAACACCATTAGTATGGGACAAAGTAACATGCAGGTACAAGTGTGGGTAACGCAGTTATCCAATTGAGTTAGCAGCCCAAGTCCAATCTCACATGCTTTCTTGTTTGATTAGGTTTTCAAGATTGAAATCCATCCTCCATGGCACCCATTTAATGCAATCTGAATTTTAAGTTTGAAAGAAAATGATTTATTACTTTAAATATTAGTTCATTAACAATCTGTTAAATTTTGATGGCCTGTTTAGTTATTATGTAACCTGACAAAAATCTCTTTAAAAAGTTAACAAAAATCTCTTTAAAAAGTTGCTATATTATTGTCAGTGATTCTATTGTCTGATGTTTTGTCAACTAAAATGATTAAGTGGACTAAAGTAAATAAACCACTATTTAACCTTCTTAAGTTTTTGTGCACAGAGCAAAATCTTAAGAAGTTAATGAAAACACCTAACAAAAGAATCTGGAGGCATTCCTTCTACTCTTTTGCTGGATCCGCTGGCAACCAAACAGTGTCAAACACAGCCTCATGCTTTGGACATCAAGCATAATACCGGACTTAAGGGGGATGTTATCATACGGTCATGATTTGATCCAATGCAAGCATCAAATAAAAATTTTGAATTATGTAAAAGAAAAGAGTTCAATTTAAATCATCATATCAGGGCAATGAAACCATGGATTAGTTGCACAATGGCATTGATATATCCCTAAATCTAATATACAAATTCTATCCTGTGCAACTTATTGCCGAATTATATATCTTGCACAAATTTCTATTCTTTCTAGCTAGGCCCTGTTCAGTGTGAAGAATGTCGACAATCTATACACTGATCACTGTCCAGGTTCTTCAAAACGAATGTAGTCATACATTACTCCTTGGAAGGGTGTTGTGTTCAATGCTTGAGTAAGATAGATTGTGTTGGTACCTTTTCTAAGTTTATTACTAGGCACTTGAATGCTGTAAAATCTGTACAATCCATGAATTCCATGTCTTGCAATTGCATTGTCTGACCCTATTCTCCCTGGTGTCTCAAAATCGGGTTCTGGAGCATTTGGATCATTGAACCTCACCTGTCAATTCGTTGTCAGGAAGTTTTCAGCAAAACATCAAATGATGGCGAAAAGGACGGAGTTGAATTTTCTCTGAAACGTGAGCAAAATGAAGGATAAGATGCATATACCTGCGGCTTTGCATAACTGGCTGATGCCAAGGCCAATTGGAGGGTGTAATTTCCTGTATGGAGCACGTGTTGGAGATGAAATACAATCTGCCATGTTGCTGCTTTATAATCACCATCTCCGAGGTTCCTGTAAGCCAATTGAGGCATTAGGTCGAACACCTAGAAAGCATATAAAAAGGTTCCAGACTACAACACAATTAATGTCTGAAACAAAAGAAGCACCTAGTAACATGAGCATAGAACCAATCCCGGGCATAATTACTAACGCCAACGGTGAAGACGAGATCGTTGTGAGGATAAATTTCAGCATAACGTTCCCACAGTCCATATTGCCTATATCTGTACATGGAAAAATCTTGCCTTAGTCAAGATACTCCGCGTTCAACAGGGTAAAAGGACTGCTATTGTTGATCATTTTAAACTCACCTGCCATGATC